TAAGTTACGGCTATAATGCCGTAACTTACTATATTACTTGCTATAGTTACGGCAAGTTACGGCAGTGTGACGACTATCATTGGGACGATTCTACCGCATCTCTAGTCCTGATGCCATTTTAAGATATATATATAAAAAGAGGAGCTCTTTCACGAGGGAATATGGAAATTTTCGAGACAAAAGAGTAATGGAATCATCATATTTGCACATTTATCGCGTGCATTAGTGGAGACGTAAGCACAAATTCGACGATTTTTGCGTATAAAATTTAATTCTAATAATGGGTAGTATATTTTAGTGGAACGAAATTTTATTGGCATAAATGTTTTTCTCTTGTACAGTATAAGATTTTTTAAAATCTTAGACCTAACCGTCTTGTGCAATTTTCACGTGATCGAACACATCAAAGATCACATGAAATTTCATGCATGTGAAGCATCTTAGGTTTTTTTGGATAGGAATAAGGTTTAAAGATGTATAAATAAAGGAAACTCGTAATTTATACATTGCCTTCATCTTATTTCATGCCACACTTGAATAAACAATATTCATGAAAGTTTGTTAAGACAATCAAAGCCAAGAATATATATAGAATATATATAGCATATAGCAGACTTGAAAGTTTTTCTAGCATAGTATGTGGTAATTTTATAATAAGCTTAGAATGAAATTGTTAAATATTCAATTTGAAAAGAGTTTATATATGATTCATATAGGATTACTATTGATGGTTTTCATGATGTGTAAAATCAAGATTACAAAAATGTTACATAGGTTGATTCATATGACCGTACGTACAACGTGTGATCATTGTTAATTGTTAGTGGCGCAGCGGATGCGTTAGATATGTTCACGTGTGCAGCACCGGGTGTTAAAGTATAATCAATATTTATGTAAATGGAACAGTGACTTCATGAACAGAAGAACTTCATTGGATTCTTTTTTGTTGTTGGTTCCACATAAAATGGTGATTTTCTGATAAAAATCTCAATGGATTATGATGTGGCCTAGAACTTAATGATGAAAACGAAGCTGTTCTTGGAGTAAGAAATTCGACATTCATATTATCTTCAATTTCGATATTGTTTAAGTTATACATGTGACTTTCAACTTCTGTGAGGGAAAAAAATAGAAAAGAAAAATTAAAGAATTGTTTTGATAAGTGTAAACTTTATTGCTACCCTTTACTGTCATTTATCGGAGACCGAAATATAGAATCAATTTAGTACTCCGATTGGGATAATGAGGGTAAATTGGCAAAACTGCATAAAATAGGACAAAATGAGTATTCTTACGTAATTGTATTGCGTCACTATTAGAGTCTAGAACTTCATTTCGATTATGAAAAAATCCATTATGATAAACATGGGGCATATGTCTATTCTCTAATTCAGATATGTGATTGATGCAATGCTGCCCCACCAAATTTAATTCTATTATATTATCCACGTTCGCGTAGCTTTTTTGGTTAAAATTAGCAAACGAAGAAGGACGATAACCAATTTTCGCCCGCCGAGTTGCTAATGATTCAATGACGTCCCGTTTAGTTCTTGGTGCAGGGCCACGTTTCTTTCGTTCAGTGATAAAATTACAGACTTGATTTTTTTCTCGACACTTGGCACATTCGGGCGGACCCGAACATTTAATTTTTTTAGTTTGACAATACTGGCAAGCAGTCGTAACTTTAGTCCGTGGAATCATGAAGAGATATATTTGTGTAATGTTACTTTCTATGTAAAGATACTTTTTGAAACCTAAAAGAAAGTATTTAAAATAGTTTTTTATTTGGTATGCTCATAGGAATACTCTTTCTTCTTACAGTATATATTCTCGTCAATTAATTCAAGTTGCTGAGAAGGATTAAATTATTAGGCTTAATTTTTGCTTTTATATGCGATATAAAGACCGTAAAACGCTGCATAAGGTACCCGGGTATCTTACAATTCACATGATAAAAATTTGATTTGTACCCCGGGTACCTTGTATGGAGGAGGGTATATTATATGGGGGTATATTACCGTATTTCTGTCATATGGGCTAATTTCCGATTATTGGGCTCTGAATAGAGTCACTAAATTCAGTTTAAACCCCTTGTTTGATTGTTT